AGAATTGCTACCTATACCTACGAGTACAATTAAAGTGGTCTACACACAGGTTGCACAAGCCCTTACAAAGGCAGGAGGCCCCTCCTTGGGAACAGGGGTGCGCTGCTAAAGCAGTAGCATCCTACACAAAGCATGGATTCAAATTCTCTACCATGTATCACCTTTTCTTAAAGGGAAATTTGCAAGCAGGGGTTTATAATTCCATCACTAGGTTCTGGCAATATGCAAGCCATTCAAATTTTGTGCTCAGTCTTTATGACACCATCAGAATTCCCTGGTTGCAATGATAGCCCTGTAATTTAGTAGTTTGTTATTTTATTAGGCACTGTAGTGTGTGCGCGCCAGATTTTTATTTAAATACATACCTTTATATAAAGGGCTGTCCTATAGAGCATATGAGGTGCAACCTGCTTGGAGGGTGGCTACTCCAGTTGAAGTTCCTCTAGTAAAATTAGCTGTTACAGGAGATCATCTTGTCAAGATGAACACAGGAAAAAGCATAAGACGACAAGTTTTGGCATGGTCCTCTTAGGAAGAGGACTGACTAAATTCAGTTGCTAAAAACAACAAAAAACTGGCTGTGAAGAGTGAGTCTAATGTCCTAGAGAACTGACCACAGAATTTGTGACAAGAGAGAGAGCCTGGTAATAGAGATGTATGGTTGCAATGTGCATCAGACTTCAACATCCCCAGCCTAAAACTTTTAGGTTTAAAACAGCCTGCATCTCAGCTGAAGAATGTCTGCTCATCATGAAAAAATGGAAAAGTGTACATAGGGTTCTTACAAATAAAGAAGGATGAGATAAGGCCCAACATGCCAATAATGGTACTTGCAAATATCAGACGGTTGTCTTACACCCGTTGTTGAGCAAATATATTCCTATCTGGGAAAGAAAATGTTTATCAGAACCCCTTACGCATAGTCTATCTACTACTATTATTTAAGGGGAATACAGTTAAGAGTATATTTGAGACATAAACTTAAAGATCTCAACCTTTTCTACAATAATCTTTGATTAGCCAATAGTTTAGCAACAAAATAGACATGTATTCACAAAGGCTGACACACTACAACAATGACTAAGTATTCTAGTGAACATTCACGTAGCACTGGATTTCTAAAACCACATTTAACATCCAAAATCACTGTATTCAGTACAGGCTATTCTGCCACCTTTGTTCTCACTGAATGATACTTTAATTAGGGTTACCATTCGTCCGGATTCTCCTGGACACGTCTGGCTTTTTGAGTTTAAAAATAGCATCCGGGGGGAATTTGCAAATGTCCGGATTTCTCCCCCTCCCCCCATGCAGAGTGCGGTACGGCTGACAGGGCAGCCAGCAGGATCGAGCCAGAGCCCCTCCTCCGCTTCCCTCCTCCTCTCCCCTGCAGCTTCAGATCACTCTCCTCCTTTCCTCCTCCCCCCCCACCCCTCCCTGCATTCGCAGATCGCCGGCCATTCGCATCGGGCCTCCAGCAGTCTGGAGCTCCTCCCCCCTGCTCCCCCTCCCCTGCTGCCCAGCGCGCCGCTCAACAGCACTCTGCGAGGGCGGGAACCGGGCTACGCGCTCTGTGGGAGAGCGTGTTGGGCTCCACGCGCGGTTCTGAGCAGCACGGTAAGGGGGCCAGGGGGGGGTTCTGGAGGGGGCAGTCAAGAGACAGGGAGCAGGGGGAGGGTTGGATGGGTCAGGAGTTCTGGGGGGTGGGGGGGCTGTCAGGGGGCGGGGGTGTGGATAAGGTTTTGGGCAGTCAGGGGACAGGCAGGGGGTAGGGTCCTAGGGGAGCAGTTAGGATGGGGGGGGTCTCAGGAGGGGACAGTTAGGGGACAAGGAGTGGGGGGGTTGGGGTTTCTGAGGGGGGCAGTCAGGGGGCAGGAAGTGGGAGGGGCTAGGGCGGGGCTCCTGCTGTCCTCTTTTGATTGTTGAAATATAGTAACCCTAACTTTAATCCACAAGCAGTATCACTGATTTAAATTACTACTCAGTGGGAGTATGGGTAACATGACTGTGCCCTACTCATGACATCAAAACGCAGTTGCACCATCTAATTTCTTCTGTTACTCAGATTTTTTTTTAGTTCAGCAACATTTCAAAGGATTTGGACCCTTCAAAAAGGTAAATAATAAACAAGAACACCCAAGTAATTACTCAGGAAACTTTCTTCCATTCATGTACTTTGCCTTATTTTCTATTTTAAAGATGTATCTCTAAAAATGCCAGAGACAAGAAGAGGCCATCCAGTGACTTATCATACCTAAGTACATATCAGTATAGTACACAGGCACTGAACACAAGGAAAATTATATGCATGACAATTGTCCATAGCAGACTTACAGTGATTTCATAAAACAAGTCACAAAGACAATGTCGTAGCGTTCAGACTCCAGCAATAACCTCAGCTGGCACATCTTTTCATTGACAGAGCCAACCAACAGAGCTGACCAAAGGTAGAAGGCAATAACTAATTCAGATCCTACATTTGGTTAACTGGGATCAATTTGAAAGCCAAGACAGGCAGACCAGAGAAACAGATAATGCACGTAGATGTGTCACTGTGGGTTGGCCTTAACGAACTCACTTCAACAATCTGATGGAACTCTGAGAATCATTGGTTAGCAACATCAGCATTCCCCATCAGAGGGCAATGATGCATATTGTTCCTGGTCTGGTAAGTGGAGAACATACTCAGTAGCAGAAGAGATGAAAAACACAAAGTGGCTGAGAACCTTTTTTTTTTTTTTTGGGGGGGGGGGGCGGGGGGAAAGAGAACACATACAAGCTTACAGGGGAAAATACAGTTAAGGTTCCAAAGGAGAAATGGTATTTTTCTTATTACCAGAACTATCTTATACTCAGATATACACTTGGCTATACAAGCCAAAAAGGAGGAGAAGATGGTCCTCCTCAAGGAATCGTTCACAGAAGCTTGTACTCTGTATCCTGCTGAACTCTAAGAAACAAACCTAAGCAGATCTGATTTGGAATACGCTAGCCTACTCAGAAGCCTTTGAAAAAGCTAAGAGAATCTGCCACCAGGAAGCAAAGGGAACCACAAGATGATTTCTCAGGGCAACACCTATGAGTGAGCTGTTAGACAAGATGATGATAGATTGTATTTTAAGACGCATTTTTTCCAAAACACGGCAAAGAAATAAGACTAGCTTCTGAGTGCATATGTACTAATATTTCTTCCCTGGCATAACTGTAATAATCTCCATTTGTGAATTTGAACTTATACATACTAACAACTGTTTGGAAACTTTATTAAGACATTTTTCTATACGGATTATTCTGGCAAGTGAGCTAGAAACCATTTAGGATTCTTTTTTATGGCAACCTTACTTATGCATGACTGATTTAGGGAGTCCCAGAGATAGTAGAAAACAGTTTGATGGAGGGTTTTTTGTTTGGATGTTTAAGATCTCCCCCTTTCCTCTCCCCTTTGTATTTTTTAAGAGGTGGGTCATGGGAAAGGAATTTTTACTATTCAGCCCTAGATTCAATGTTTCTCCAGAAACATCTTTCCAAACTGATGGGCTGGTAATGACAGACCATCATGGACTTCTAATGGACCATCTCTAGCAGGACTCTTGGAGCTTTGTTTTTTTGAATCCTACCTCCAACTATTTCAAGTTGATATGCAAAAACTTTAAAAACAAAAGAGACAGATTCACAGTTATGCTAATTTTATGTCCTGGCTAGAAGGTGGGATCTGATAAAACATTCAAGTTAACTAACTGCAGGAGCACCTTACCCCCTAGATTTTTTAAAAGAAGTAGAATTATAAAATAACCTGCCCCCAAGAAATCATGCTCCTTAATACATTTAAGAAAAGTTGTAACCAGATCAGTTCCTCCGAAACAGTAGAGGACGAACCATTTACGATTAAATTCGATAAAGAACTTTCTTAGCACAAAGAGATACACATTCAAAGCTTGAGAAATCATGCATGGCAACTTCCTCAACCCCCACGTTACAGAAAGAGGCTCAACATCTACTCAAAACAGGAACTAAATGCATACGGGGATTCTGAGGAAGGCAAAATATGCCAGCAGAGGAACCATTAACTCAAAACACCAAAGGAACAGACCTACTTTAAAAAGAGTCGTGTTTGCTAAATTAAAAGGAATTTGTTTTAAATTAAAAATAAATCAAATCAGAGTATCAACAAACACAAATATAGCTAATGCAAGAGGGGCTCTCTTGGGCACAAATTTTAATGGAGGAAAAACACAACTTTAGCAAAAATAAAGGATGTGGAACTTATAAAGGGGATCATAGCCTTCAGGTATCGTTTCCTCTGACTGTTCAATAAGAAACTTCATAAAGCTCCAGAAAAGCAAGTATACTATTTCCTAGAAAAAATACCAGTATATCAAACACTATTAAAATTCACATGTAAAACAAGCAGTAAATCAAACAAGCCACAATACAAAAATGTGTTTCCCACAGTGCAAAAGAAAGTGACATGAGAGTGAAGATTCTCTCACGTCAGTTTTGGACAACAGAAAAAAACAAAAATGAACTGGCAGTTAGAGGCTAGATGTGCTAAAGAAACATGAACAGGAGTACTTGTGGCACTCCGAGACGAACAAATTTATTTGAGCATAAGCTTTCATGGGCTACAGCCCACTTCTTCAGATGTAGCCCACGAAAGCTTATGCTCAAATAAATTTGTTAGTCTCCAACGTACCACAAGTACCCCTGTTCTTTTTGTGGATACAGACTAACACGGCTGCTACTCTAAAGAAACATGGCGTAACTATTTCAGAGGAGTTCTAAATTTTCTTGTGTATAAACTTTAGCTAACGCCAGAACTTACAAGACAAAAGAGTGAGCGATCTAGAAAGGACACCAACTTTTGGAGAAATGAATTTTCTTTAATCATTCTTTCAAAACAGCTAATACCATGTACGTGACATTAATCCCACCATGTGTTATTTCGTTAATGTGCCACAAAGCACTAGTTATTTTATCTTAGTAACTATAACATTGCTAACCTGGTTCCATCCTGAGCGCTGCAGTTAACATCAGCCCCATACTCTAGGAGATGTCGCACAATGCTCAGCCAGCCTCTGGCGCAGGCCTCATGGAGGGCACAATAACCTGCGTTGTCACGATGATTTACATCACAGACCTTGTTTTCCAAACAATACAGAACCACTTCCTGAAAATGGGGGGGGGGGGGAAGAGAGAGAGAGAGAGAGAAGGATAGGTCATGTTATTTGTTGCTGTTGAGATGTGCATACCTTTAACATGTTTGAGTTATCTCTCTTTGAATGAGGGGGGTGTGGGGGAAAGAATCATGTGGCTCTCATCCCCATAGAAGTATCATTTTGAAAGTCAAAGACCACTATTTTTTCACAAGCAAGGCAGCATTGTATTGCGCAGCACTAAGATCTCTAGGCACACCAGTGGGATTTTCTGCATTAAATAATGGTAGGAAACACAGAGAAAGGATGTACCCATTTCACACTAAATTATGGCCTCTGTTTCCTCAGAATTTGCTTGGTGTAAACTGTTAGAAAGGTTATTAATCTTACCCCCGTGTATTAAAATATTAATACGAAAATGTTCCAAGCACAGCAGTAATGCATTCAATGTTAGCTTGATAAAAAAAAGTTTTTAAAGACATGAAGGACAATGGTTTCCATTAGAAAACTAATCATAAGAAAATCCTAGCCCCAATGAACTCAATGGAGCCAGAATTTCACCCACAGTGATTTTCTTCATTCAGAACTAGAGCCAGATGCTCGTTTCCAATAAATAACCTATCACTGTGGGAAGCCATGTGGATTTAACACAATTCATCTTGCAGTCAAATGTACCATGGTTGAAGGCCTAGGCCATCCTCAGCTCTGTGCTCTCATGCAACCTTGAAACAATGACTGTTCCATCACTCAACCAAAAATTTGGGATTGGTGCAAGTTTCATTTATTTGTGTGGGAGGCACAAACAAATGATACAATACATAAAATAGCTCATGTGCTCTAAGATTAGCTGCAATCCATTAATTTTGCATTCTCTACCTTTAAAGGTCAAGCAGTGAACTATCTACATGTTTATTTGGAAGCAATGTGGGGTTGTTTCCTTTCTCAGACAGAAAGTAATAAAATGCTGGGTGCAATGCATATATTCTTTCAGTTTCAAAATCTACCGGAAAGCCTACAATAATCTGTGCTCTTGGTATACCTGACCTGAGAATTGGTATCTAGGATACAGCATGAAGCTGTTCTTTTAGCAGGCCCTCACTAACCAGACTAAAGTGGATAGCAGCAAGCTAATGAGCTGTCTATCCCAGTCAAGGAAAGAAACCCAGTCACATGACATTGGGATCAAGTGCATCAGCCACTTACTGCTGGTGCACCGATCAATTTACCTCGATCCCAGCAGTCTGGTGTCTCACCAACCAAAAGCTTTATTGTTCCTATTAATAATTCTGAAGGCCAAAATCAAAGAACTATGGTTTTACCTGAATTCCCTCATGTCTACCTGAAAGGGTCTGTATAATTAATTCTGGAACCTGAATTTGCTTTAAAACACAAAAAAATGTTGATTGAAAATTTTCAGACCAACGGATTTTTAATTTGGTAGAAATTCACGTGTGCGTGCAGAGACACATTTTAAGGGACATCATAAAAGTGACTGATAAATGCTGCAACAAACCATTATCTTTGGTAGTAATTTTTCACTGTAACAGGAAGAGATTTAATAATGTTGGTTTCAAATATAATACCGCTCAACTGTATATAGTTAAACACAATAGGCCCAATTATGCGCTCAGATTTGCATGAGCTTATTAATATCCTAGGAATATGGCACAATCCTCTTTAAAAGATGGGCAGCATGTAGCCCATTTACTGGACTAAGTATGAAGCCCTTACTAGTTGCAAGCTAGCTGCCTTTTAGCTAACAGCAGTTCCTATAATATTGAGCTGTAGTTTTAAAATGAAGTTATTCTTTAAAACAATTTTTAAGCCTCCAAATTTAGTTTAATTTTATTTTATTTTATTTTTGTAAAAAGGAAAGACTTTCTAGGACAAAACGTTTACTGGACCAAAAGCTAATTTTGTTGGACAAGTTCATCTTAAGAGGCAACAAGAAGAAGGTTATTAACCACAAAATGTAAGCATGAAGACCATAAAACGCTACATTGTTAATTAATTATATGCCTCATTAAAATTTTTTTAACATGATTTACTCAATTCGTAGAAAATTTAACCATCACTGCTGAATGTATGAACATGTGGCAGCACAAACATTTTGGATTCATAAGCCTCCCCCCCCGCCTTAACCTTAGAGAAAGGTTGTGAAGCTCGCATGGGTCAATTTAGATATATTCATATGGCCCATTTAAAGCAGTGATCTGAACATCACATGCTTAATAAATCCAAAGAACCAGCTAGCTTGCCACCAGCAAAAGCTACACCATAGCTGTGTTCACTGCCTGCAGTTTCTTTAGCTAAATAGTAAACAGTAATGGTAAGGAAAACACCACACATTTAAAAAGCTTTAACATATTTAAAATAACGAGGGCAGATCTCTCCCCCCACCTCCTCCCTCCCAGATCTTAATGGGAATCTCTCCCTTTCCACATGAAAATGCAGGTGAGCTTTTTCTGTGCACCATGCTCTCTCACCCTGGACCCACAGACAGCTATATGGATTATCCTCCACCCAATCCAGTGTGGAAACCACTGGATAAGATAAAACAGCTGAAGTCTGTATTCCCTTTTCTGCTGAGCTACTCTGCACCATGGAGGTAGCCTCCTCCCGACCTAACGGAAGGAAACCCAGGAGAAGTGGCCAGCGCAGCTTCCATGCAGCCTTGTGGAAAGGGGACTAGGAGAGAGCAACATGTGGATGGGAGGTGGCACAGAAGCACAAGGCTCTGGGAAGATGGTCCTATCCTGCAGGGCATCATGGGGATCCCTGGATTGTGCAGGCCAAACCTCCTGCATGATCCATAACGAGGCAAACCCCATCCTCTGTCTCCACTGAAACAATGGGTAGAGTCCCTGAGGGGAATTTCAGTCCTCTTCTCCCAGGCTCCTCCTGCATTTATTGCCCTCCCCATATCAGCTACCAGGTTTCTCCCTAATGCTACTGCCTTTCCGGGCATGATGTAATCCTGAATTGACTTAGGGCGAAGACTGTTGAAAACTTTCAGGTACAAACACTAACTAAAAGCACCAAGCGAGCTCAAATCAATTCGGTATGCAAGCCTTTAGCGTATGGCTTTATGCTTCCTATAGGCAGGGGGGGAAAATTGTGTGCTTAAAATTGTACTTAAGTAATTTAAATAAATATTTATTTGATGGACCCGTACAGAATGTACTTGTAATACTAATATCCTAGTTAACTAAGGGCTTGATCCAAACCGCCTTGAAGTCAATGGAAAGACTCCCATCAATGTGCTTTGGATCAGGCCCTAAAGACATACAGGGCCAAAGCCTACTCCATCTTACTTGCTTACGTAGCCCTATTGGCTGCAGCCAGGCTACACATCTGCATAGATGCAAGCCAGATTTATCACTAAATACTTTGTGAGTGTGTGTGTGTAAAAGCTGAAACAGGGATATACACAAACAAATGCTCCAGTCTAGGGAAAGTGACGCTGTCATAGTCATCTACACTGTACTACACAAGAATTAGAATTGAAAATGTTCAAACATGGTCAAGGAGGTAAAGTAAGGCTTCATTTAAAAGACAAGTAAATGGACAGCCTGAGTAGGGGGCTTGTAGAGATTCTATAGCTTCCAGTGCTACTCTGCTCTATTGCAGAAAGAGACCCCTTTACTGCCAAACAAACCACTAAACTTTCTGAAATTCCAGGCATGTTCTTTACACTAGCCACTTACAACAAGGTTTGATGGCAAGATTATAAATCATCATTCAGAATAGCAAGGTTTTGGGGGAGAGGGGAGACAAAAGCACATTTCTCCCTGGTAAGAAAGCAGAGGGAGAGAATAGTTTTATCAAAGACTTGTAAGCAGTGTCAAATACATTGCCTTCATTTAAAACATGACATCAGTGTTGTACCCTCTTCAGAATTATTTTGATTTGTCTACACTGCAGTAAAAAATCTACTGCATGGCCGCGGCTGGCCTGGGTCACGTGAATTAGGCTTGCGAAGCTCAGGCTGTGAGGCTATAAAATTGGACATTTGGGTTTGGGCTGAAGCCTGGACTCAGAGACCCGACGAGGGGAAGAGGGTCTCAGTGCCTGGGCTCCAGCCTGAGTCCAACGTCTGCACTGCTATTTTTAGCCCTGCAACCAAGCCCGAATCAGCTGACCCAGGCTCTGAGATCTAGTGCCACGGGTTTATCATCGCAGTGTAGACATACCATTATAACCCCAAGGAGTCCTCCCCACTTTCAATGTCATGTGGGTGTGCAGAACTGGCAAGGAAATGAGTAACGACAATTGAGAGCCTCTATCTACAAGGACACTGAATAGAGAGTGCCAGTAATTTCTCTGGATGAAGCTAAACTCCCATTTTCCAATGATTCTCTCCTACTGTTTCACTAGATACAAAGAGCAAATTACAGTTAGAAGCAACATAAGCATAATGGGGTTCTTAGACCTATGCTATGCATCATTCAACTACATGTCTACTGAAGGCTCCCTGCATGCACATATAATTTATTTCAGCAAAGGCAGCCCCAGAGCAAGGACTACAATAGAAGAACCTGGTCCTAGGTGGAGAGGAAGCTGGAAAGGGCCTCATTGTCTTGCTTTGTACAGAGCTCTGCAAATCACAGAGCTAGTCCTGCCTAGAGAGACAGATGAAGTGTCTTTTAAATTTATATTTGGAGTTATTTGCTCGTGACTCTCAGAATGCGACACCGAGCTCTCTCAGTATACTTGGATATATGCTCTCTAGATCAGGGGTGGACAAACTACGGCCTGCAGGCCGGATCCTGCCCGCCAGCCGTTTTAATCTGGTCCTCGAGCTCCAGCTGGGGAGCGGGGCCTTGGGCTTGCCCCCCTCCGGCGCTCCACGCAGCTTCCAGAAGCAGCAGCACATCCCCCCTCTGGCTGCTACGCGTAGGGGCAGCTAGGGGGCTCTGCTCCGCAAGCTACCCCCGCCCCAAGCGCCGCCCCCGCAGCTCCCATTGGCCGGGAACTGTGGCCAATGGGAGCTGCAGGGACAGTGCCTGCGGATGGGGCAGCACACAGCAGAGCCGTCCGGCCTCACCTCTGAGTAGCAGCCGGGGTGGGGTGGGGGGGAGGACTGGAAAGAGATGCCGCTGCTTCCGAGAGCCACTTGAGATAAGTACTGCCCAGACCTTGTTTACCTTACTATGTGAGAGAGTTTTAGGCCCGGATTCTACCCAGACTTATGCATGTGCTTAACCTTATGCACTGTGTGTAGTCCCATTGGCATCAATGAGACTACTCGGAGTGCACATAAGCATCACACAGCAGTCTGACATGGAAACTGTGGGTCAGATTCTCAGCTACTGTGAAGGAGCAAGAGGGAGAAAGACTCTGGAGCACTAAAAAGAAACCCTGCGTTTAAATTTCAGGTCCCATGGGAACAGAAATAATGCAAATTATAAAGATTCCCACAGCATCTGCATAATAATATAACTCCTAGCTAAAGTGAGACAACCCAGAACTAGAATATGTGTTTGTCTAGGCCAGGGGTTCTCAAACTGGGGGTTGGGACCCCTCAGAGGGTCACGAGGTTATTACATGAGGAGTTCTGAACTATCAGCCCCCACCCCAGACCCCGCTTTCCATCCAGCATTTATAATGGTATTAAATATATTTAAAAGGTTTTTTAATTTATAAGGGGGGGGGGTTGCATTTGCAGGCTTGCTACATGAAAGATGTCATCAGTACAAAAGTTTGAGAATCACTGGTCTAGGCTAAACAAAAGATTTTCCAGACTAAATTCAGCCTTCCAAAGTTGGAACAGGCTTCTGCCTAAACTGGGGTTCCAAACAAGACAAAATCTTTATGGGCTGGAGCAAATCTTTAAGCTGGACAGGCCTCTGCCGAAACCTGACTTCCAGGCTGACTCAATCTTCAAAACTGGAGCAGGCCTCTGTCTAACCCAAGCTCCCAGGCCTAACTGCCTCTTTCAAAGCTAGGGCAAGTTTTATAGCTCCTTATTATCCCTGCTCTGACTAAATACCATCAAAATCAGTAATCACACTCACGATGAACCACTTTTGTCACAGCAATACTTCTTAGGATTGGGACCCTAATATGATATTACAAAATATCCCCTCCCTCAAGAAATAAAACCATGTTTCTGAGACAGCAGAGCTGGTGGATTCAGCAACTACTGATTTTTGTAGAAGCCAGGTCTGTTTGTTTAGAGCAGTATTAATGCTGAGAAGCATCAAAATATTTAGAACACTTTCTGCAATATATCCAAACACGCAAGTGGACACACCAAACATTACGTTCAGGCTCAAATATCAAAACTGTCCATTTTCTTTTGTAAATTACATGTCCTTAATATTAAAGGAAAGCAAAACCAGAGCTCATTAAAGCTCTCCGTACACCACACGGAACGTTAATTTGTGATTTTATACAGTGTCAGACAATATAGTGGTGGGGTTTCAACCCCTTATAAAACCTTCCTAGGTAGGAGTCCAGTTCTCAAGACACTGCACGCCCTCCACTCCCAACAGCTATAACCAGAGTTCAGGGTGCACAGCCCCAAAGATTTAGGCCGTTATTGAACACACTATAAACCAAGAGAGTGATCAAGTTTTTGCTCCTCACCATCACTATACACATTCAAATTAAATGATGCTTTAATGAAAAACAATAAAAAAAAAAAAACCAAAGATGAGAAATGCATAAACTACAAATCTGTTTGTAGCTACCTCATCAGTGCACCAGGATTACATAAACTAGAATTACAAAGTGACTTTAATCCTGTGTACAAATAAGATTTTTTTTATTATTATTAAAGAAAGCAAACAGCTCCCGCATCTCAATTCAGAATATTTAAAGGGATTCTTGCCTCATATCCCAGACGAGCTGCCCTTTGCAGAAGAGTTTCGCCAGCATTCTTATTGACAATAAGTCTTCGTGCTTCAGGCGGCATGGGACGACTTGGGGTGGTCTCCTGAGGGGTGCTTGCAATCTGCAACTGCGAGGGCTGAGAGACAGGTAATAATGAGGAAGTCTGCTGCAGGCGATCATACAGCTTCTGCTCATATGATTTGGCTGGTGAAGAGTCACAGTCTGAAGTAGGCTCTGGTCGCTTTCTGAATCTTCTTGTTACTGTGACCTGTCAAAATCATTATTGGATTTTTTCTCCCCCTTTTTAACAATACACTGATGGGAATATATTTTGCCACTTAAGAATTACATTTCTGTTCTCATTACAAAAATCTACTACTGTTACTAAATTTACAACTCCTCAGTCTTTATGTCCGCACTAGGCTTTATCTCAGATAGACTAAGAGAACAAATTCAAAATATGCAAATAGTAAAAAGGGGAGGAGTTTGAATAAAATTACAGTCCACCTTCGTTAGAAAATCCTTCATAATAATGACCCTTTGGCTATAACAACCCCGATGCCTAGATCCCACCTTGACCCCCACCGCTGTGGCAAGGGCTGACAGCATAGCTGGAGGAGCTGTCAGCCCCAGGGCTGGAGGAGCTGTCAGCTGCCCTCCTGCCCCGGAGGCAGGACTCTTTCACTATAACCAGCCCCTAGCTCTAATGAACAAATGGTTTGGATCCCAATGGGTTCGTTACAGCGAGGGCGTCCTGTATTGCTACATAGCACAATAACGTGTTAGCTTGAGTGGCCTGGCTCTGCTGTACACTCTGTGAGGTTAGTGGATGATTAAATCTAAATAAAGATACCTTATCTTCAACATTTTCAATATCTGTGGTGTCATCCCCTGTCAGGGATGACCTCCTTCTCCTCTCCTGTAGTGCCAAGTGTTTTGTTTTACACTGACGTTTCCCTGATGGCTTCTCACACTCAGAATATCTCTGCAGCAGGGATGTAGCTTGGAAATCCTCCTCTTCATCTGTGCACAGCACATCTGTATTCCGGCTCTCTTTAATTTTCTGCTGTTTGGCAGCCAACCTCGAGGCTGGAGTACAGCTTGGCTGAGTCTGCCTTTTGCTGTTTGCATTGGTGGATGAAAGGCTCTTCGCAGGCGGAGAGACCATGAATAGAGGCAATCCTAAATGGGAGGAAAGGCATTACATGTTGCATGGGGTGTTGAGAAAATGCATTGTTAACACTTAACACTAACTCCTTTCCTGTTTAGGAGATTCACCAATTACATTTTCAAGTCATTAATATTTTAAATGTTCTACATTCAAAATGTAAATATGTGAACTCACAAGTTGCTAAATTTAAAGTAGTTGTAATTGTCTGATAAAACTACTACAGGAAATTCTTTATTACTATTGTGCCTAGATACTGCAGAGGCCTATCAGTGCACTGATACGCAACCTACGCACTGGAACCCCTAGCCTCAGTGGGCAAAACAAGGAGCAGAAAGTCTCAACTGTGAATTTCCTGGTTTGGTGGGTGTAAATGACAAAATTAGTTTCCTTACCTGTAATTGTCTTATGTGAATGGGAACTCACCTTCCTCCTCAGGCTGGGAACTGCTGTTTTTTTCTGCCTTTTCCAAGTTTAAGTGGCAGGCAAGAGGTATATGGGGAGGGGAAGATATTCTGTGTTCTAGGTAAAGAATATAAGAATGGCCATACTTGGTCAGACCAGTGGTCCATCTAGCCCAGTATCCTGTCTTCTGACAGTGGCCAATACCAGATGCTTCAAAGGGAACGAACAGAACAATTATCAAGTGATCCATCCCATCATCTATTCCAAGCATCTGGCAGTCAGAGAGGGTCACTGGAGGAGAGCATTGAAGGAAGACTCAGAGGACTCTATCCTCAAAGACAAAGGATGGAGAAAGTAGCAGGTCAATTTCTTAGTGCTTTCCAAATAATTCTGAAATAGGCTTGCTGTGACTTTCTGCCTACAAAGTAGATGGATTCCTAGTGGAGTGAGCAACTATATCTTCAAGACTACTTTAATTAGATGCCTTGTAAAACTGGAGGATGAATTAAATAAACTATCTACATACAAAATATTTTGATGCTTTATACCCCTTCTACATTTCCCAGAGTATTGGGCTTCCTCCAGGGTTTAGTTCTACAGAAGTAGAATTTCACAACCCTGACCACATGTAAAGTGTGTAGTTTTTCTAGGATGCAAGGGGGTCTAGGATAAAGTGAGGGCAAAGAACATGATAATTTTAAAAGAAATTCAGATTTTCTATTTAAGAAACAGAATTGGGGCTGACTTCTGAACCACCTTCTTTGGAAAAAAATTAAAGCAAAGCTGTCTGATGAAAGGGGACAAAAGTTTCCCATCCTGATAGCTACAAAGAAGGGAAACTTCAGTCAGATTATATTGAATCACTTTCTGAGTCACTGGGGAAAGTGAGAGAGATTGCAGTTCTTCTTCCTAGATCCACAGGTTCTAAGACCAGAAATGACCATTGTGATCATCTAGTCTGACCAATTGTATAGCACCAGACACAGAACTTCCCCCAAATAATCCCTAAAGCATCTTTTTTAGAAAAAGATCAAATCTTGATTTTAAAATTGTCCGTGATGGAGAAGCCACCACAACCCTTGGAAAATTGTTCCAATGGTTAATTGCTCTCATGGTTAAAAATTTACACCTTATTTTCAGTCTGAATTTGCCTAGCTTCAACTTCCAGCCATTGGATTGTGTTATAACTTTCTCTGCTAGACTGAAGAGCCCATTATTAAATGTTTGTTCCCCATGCAGGTACTTGCAGACTGTAATCAAGTCACCCCATAACTTTCTCTTCAATAAACTAAATAGATTGAGCTCTGAGTCTATCAATATAAGGCACGTTTTCTAATCCTTTAATCATTCTTGTGGCTCTTCTCTGAACCCTCTCCAATTTATCAGCATCCTTCTTGAACTGTGAACACCAGAGCTGGACACAGTATTCCAGCAGTGGTCACACCAGTGCCAAATACAGAGATAAAATAACCTCTCTACTTCTACCCAAGATTTCTGTTTATGCATTCCAGGACTGCATTAGCTTTTTTGGCCATGGCATCACACTGGGAGCTCATGTTCAGCTGTATCTCCCATGACCCCCAAATCTTTTTCCAGAGTCACTGCTTCCCAGGATAGAGTCCCCCATCCTGTAAGTATGGCCTGTGTTCTTTGTTCCTAGATACATTTATCCATATTAAAAACACATGGTGTTTGCCTGCACCCAGTTTGCCACGTGATCCAGACTATTCTGAATCAGCCACCTGTCTGCTTCATTATTTACCCCTTCCCCAATTTTGGGGTCATCTACAAACACTATCAGTGAAGATTTTATATTTTCTTCTGAGCCATTGATAAAAACAATAAATAGCATAGGGCCTAAAACCGATCCCTGAAGGTCCCCCACTGGAAACAGATCCACTGGATGATGATTAGGCCCCTACCAAATTCATGGCCATGAAAAACCCGTCATGGACAGTGAAATCTGGCCTCCCCCCATGAAATCTGGTCTTGTGTGCTTTTACCCTATACTATACAGATTTCACAGGGGAGACCAGCATTTCTCAAACTGGGCATCCTAACCCAAAAGGGAGTTGCGGGGGGATGAGGGGGGTAGCAAGGTTATTTTAGGGGGGTTGTGATATTGCCACCCTTACTTCTGCGCTGCCTTCAGAGCTGGGTGGCCGGACAGTGGCGGCTGCTGACTGAAGCCCCAGCTCTACAGGCAGCTGCACAGAATTAAGGGTGGCAATACCATACCATGCCATGCCATCCTTACTCTGCGCTGCTGCTGGTGGCAGCTCTGCCTTCAGAGCTGGGCTGCCGGCCAGCAGACGCCACTCTCCAGCTCAGAAAGCAGCGCCACCGTCATCAGCAGCGCAGAAGTAAGGGTAGCAGTACCGCAAAGCCCCCACCACCACAGCTCCTTTTTGGATCAAGCTCCCTACAATTACAACACTGTGAAATTTCAGATTTAAATAGCTGAAATCATGAAATTTACGACTGTTAAATTCTATGACCGTGAAACTGACCAAAATGGACTGTGAATTTGGTAGGGCCCTAATGAGGATTCCCCATTTACAGTTACGTTTTGAGACCTATCAGCTAGCCAGTTTTTAATCCATGTATGCCATGTTAATTTTATATTGTTCTGGGATATTTTTCTAATCAAAATGTCATGCGGTATCAAGTCAAACGCCTTACAGAAGGCTAAGTCCATTGCATCAACACTAATACCTTTATTAACCAACCTTGTAACCGCATCTAAAAAAGATATCCTGTCAAACTAACAATGTGTTTTGAATAAACCTATGTTGATTAGCATTAATTACATTGCTCTTGTTTAGTTCTCTATTAAAACAAATCTTGTATCAGCCCCTCCATTATGCTGTCCGGGTTCAATGTTAGGCTGATAAGCCTATAATTACTGGGTCATCCGATGACTGAGGCTCCATTGTTCCAAAGTAGGGTGACCAGATAGTAAGTGTGAAAAATCGGGCCGGGGTGGGAGGGGGGGGGTGATAGGAGCCTATGTAAGAAAAATCCCCAAATATCTGGACTGTCCCTATAAAATCAGGACATCTGGTCATCCTATTCCCAAGGACCTCAAATCAGGGCTCTCTGAAGTGATGATGCTTTCAGAAAAGAAAATGTGGATGAAGCAAGCTGGAACTAGAATAGAGCGGACACGTGGCACCCAGGACAGAGACCTGCACTTCAATCTAGAGTCTTAGGAGAGTCATCTAGTAGGATGCCCAGAATCTCTTTTGGGATTTGTCTTCCTTCAGTTACCCATGTAAGCTCAATTTGCACTGGGATTTCTGGATTTGAGAAAAGTCAACCATTTACTCTCAAGAGCTATGTTCTAGGAGAAGTGTGTCAAACATCTGGCTCACCTGATGTACTTATTGGCCCATAGGATACAAAAATCTATGCTTTAAAAAAAAAATTAAAAAAAATTTCAAAGTTTCTATGTTTCCTGGCTATGAAAACCTTCCAAACATGAACAGCACATAACCGATGTGGTGTTGTCTTCCTGAATGTGCAGACAGCCTGAAACAGTAACTGAGGTGCAAACTCTCCTTCCCCTAAATAGTCTCATTGGTGTAACATGAGTAAAGCCCAATAACATCCTTCAGTGTCATCATTAACTATTTAACCACCAGTTGTTTTAATGGGAGTGAGAATAAAACTGAATGGGGATATAGTGGGAAGATGGTGGAATTAAAAGTTGCTGCAGATAAAGAAATAGAGAAGACTCTCAGAGATGGGGAAGAGGGAGAGAAACACAGAAAGGGAGGACGGGAAAGGAAAAGAGACAGAGGCTGAAAAAGCAGTGGTCCCAAAGAACAGAAGGTCTTCCCTCTGAGTGATGCTGAATGCAACAATAAGGTGCTGATCAAATAAAGTATAGTTAGTACATAAAGACTAGGTTCTACTCTTTAACTTTTCACAAACCTCCTACTGATAATCACTGAACTCCTAAATCTATACATCAGCACATGAACTATTACAAGTTGTACGAGTTAAAGGGCCTTGGTGAATAAGGTCACAAGAGATGGGCAGTATCCACAGCAGACATGCACATCAGTCTGGGAAATATAGGGCCACCAAAGGGTGATCAATCCTCCATCTTGTCTGATCTTTCTGGCTACTCTGAATTTGAGGGGAAAGAGTGGACAGGAATATCCTCAGACACCCAGACAAGGGAACCCTATGTTGGCGCCAATGCTGGGAGCAGAATTTGGTTCTCTTTTTGGTGGACTGAGTTGCAAATGGGTCTGCTTGTGGAAGGAACCACCTCTGTGTAAACTGACTGAATGGTCATTGGTTTAGCATTCATCTTAGAACTGCTGAGCCAGGCAGACTATTGGACTTGCTGTGGATGTACATGACTGAGGGGCAGATGCTGGTATTCCAGATACAGAAGAATCCTTCTGTTCTCTCTATTCTGGCTTTTGTTTTTTGTCTTGCCTAGGTGGCAGTGATATACCATAGTGGTTCTGTGGTTATCCTCCATATGAGTGGCTGCAATTCCCAGAGGGACTCTTGGGACAAGGTCTATTTCATTCCTCACTGCCCGCAACTCCAGGAGGCTAACGCTGTGCTGGGATTCCTGGGAAGACCACTTGCTCTCAGCCACATGAGGACCCATCTGCACTCCCTATCCTGAGAAGCCAGCATTGGTCATCATGCAGATTGCTCATAGCTCTGGCAC